CCAGCCCTTAGTATAATGCTTCATTTAGTACTTATTAATACATATAATGCATGGGTGACTAGTGTTTTTATAAATTAAGGGTCAGTATATTATATTAATAATGTTTATATGTAGTTGCTGTAAATATAAAGCTATCTCTCAGAATATACAATCTTCATTTATTATAATTATTTGATGAATTATTTATTATTAAATATATTATTGATCTTTCTATAACTTATCTCTAAGTATTATTTATTCATTCAGACTGTGTTTCGGAGGAAAAATTTAGTAGAGGACTCTATACATTCATAGGTCTCTAAATTGGTAAGCTGAGTGTTTTGATTAGACATCTTTTTCTTGCATGTTTTTTTTATTTTGTATCTAATGGCAATTTTTTCCTGTTTTGGTTGGGGGCAGAGTTCCAGTAACGTTCATCTGCACAAGAAGGGATGGCAAAAGTATCTTACATACGTTAGTTCTGTTTTGTGACTTTTTATTAACCTTAAATATTATAATTATAAACATTGGTTTTATTAGATTTATTAATATTTACTAACGATTGATTTTTTTACAAAAGTAACTGTAATAGACTATTATAAAAATAGTTTGTAAATTCACTGTCATAAAATGTTTTTATTTGTTGTTACTATATAGTAATAGCACAAAAAGTTGGCGATTTTAAAAGATAAATTTATAATGAATAAGTAAATTTACTATGAGATACACATTTTTTAAATAAATTTACAAAGAATATTGGTGAATATAAAGATATACATATTATAACATATTTACATACTTGCCACAAATCAGTCATACAGCGATTTTACAAACGAGTTGCAAAACTAAAAACGCAACCCTCAATATTGTTTTTAAATTCACAAATTATTCTTTTCCGTGTAGAGGTAGTAATTTTCAATTAGAAAAACCACTGATATTTTGCTGTGTTTCATTTCCATGCAACATATCATTTAGGAACACCCTGTGTATTCATCTAAAGAATGCGTTTGGTTTATTAATAAATCGGTGACGGGTTACACTCTCCACAAACACATTTTTTTGTGTTGCGTTTGTCAGACACATTCAAAATTTGTTTGTTGCGAGAATGAAAAGGGGATAAAGTACGAGAAGTATTTTTCTTCATATATTACATCCCCCATTGCGTGACAATCACCATCTAAACTTCCATTATATCCATCGGATCGAAGGACATGAATAAATGTCCTTCAATTAAACAGATCTCACATTTTCACTTCACAATCATGCTAATGATAAGTTTAATAATGCAGTATATTTTGAAAATTTGGCTTTCTTTTTGAAGTGAAACTTTTTTACACGTCATAGGAGTAAAAATTGAAGGTCGTGACACACGAGACGCGAGAGGAAAAGCGGTAACGTTGACTTTTTGTATTTGGAGCGTCGTAACTCGGGCCCTATGTAAGGTAAGGGGCCGAAACTCTCGGAAAGTTATGAAGAAAATTTTTGTTCAAAAAACGTTGTTCAACGAAAAGTTACGATAAGTAGTTTCTGAGATATACATTGAAAAAAATATAAGTAATTTTACAAAAAAAAATATTGTTATATTATAGTATTTTTAATAAGAAACTTGTAAAAATAAGGTATTTTTACATAGTTTCACAAAAAAATGTAATTTTGCAAAACAGTTTATTAATATTAAATGATTATTACAAAATGATATTATTTTCACAATGAGTTTTGAGTTTAAAAATTAAATTTAAATTAGAAATACAATCTTCTAGTAAAATTGCATGTATCTAGACATATCCACAATACTTGTGTAAATTTATCATAGTATATGTATTTAGTAAAAAATGACGCAACTTCACGTGACTAAGTATTCAATTAAAAACGTAGTTAGAAGGAAAGACGAAGAACAGTTCCGAAGAAAGTCTCAGAGCGTGGGTGATTAGTGTTTTTATGATTTAAGGGTAAATATATTATATTAATTATGTTTATATGTAGTTTCTGTAAATATAAAGCCAGCCCTATTTAGAAAACGCAATCTCCATTTATTATAATTATTTGAATTATAACTTTAGCGATTTTTTTATGTAATAGTTATTAACGTAATAAGGCCGATAAACAACAAATAACGGCCGGGCTGAAGTTTGTGATCCGAGGCGATAGCCGAGGATCATAAGCAGCCAAGGCCGTTATTTGTTATCGGCCGTGTTGCGTTCTAGATTTTTCGTCATACTGCAGATTTTTTAGAGCAATAAACACTACTATTTAATAACAAATTTTATTGAACAATAACACAAGTAAGGATAAAAATACATAATGTCTTATACTAAAATTCATTTTTCATGATAATGAACATGGAAATTAAAAGTGCACTTGTTGTTCTTAGAAATCTGTAATCCTTCCCAGGGATTTACAGATTTTATAGAAGAAGATGATGCTACTGAAGAATGGCAAATATTTGTATCCACTAAAGACACATTATTTTTGGAGCTATCATGAAAAAAGTTGATTTGTTATTTTCATTTTTGAAACTGATTTTTCTATGTAAGTTTCTGCCACTGTTGAAGACTCCCATCCTCCTAGCTCCTTTAGCGATAGTAAATCACCACCATTTTCGGCGAGCATGGTTGCTGATGATCTACGAAATGAATGCCCTGTATAACGTTCTGGATTCTCCAAGTTCAAAAATTTTGCAATTTTCTGCGGTACGCTCCCGATGGTATGTATACCGACGATTTGCTTAACACACTTGCCTTTCTTGTAACCAATGAAAAATTTTGGATTGTCAAAGTTACGAGGACGCAGGTTGATGTATTTTTTGTATAAACCATAGGCATCAAACAGAAGGCCCGTTTTTGGAATAAGAAATTTCCTATCTTTCTTATTTTTAGTATTTCTTAATGAGACAAGAATATTTTTCTCCGAATCTTCGAAATCATCAACTGTGAGTGACCAAAGCTCGCTGCGCCTACAAGCTCCAAGAATACCAAGCACCAATACAATTTTTTCGAGTAACCAGGTGTAATCATCGGCATCCAGTAGAAAATTATTTATGTCATTCTCCGACAGAACTTTGGCTTTTTTGGTGAATAACCTTCGTTTTTGCGCCTCAGAAACATGAACAGTTTACCAAATCTATGAACAAATATAATTTAGATGAGTATGATTAAATATCGAAGAATATAATGGCTTTTTACCTTGATATGTCGATGTTTTCATATACTCTCAACGCAAGCTTCAGCATGGATATCTTTGTCCACAGTGATGTAGGAGAATACATTTCAGACATTCTTTTAGCATAAGCTAGCAATACCGCTTCATTTACGCTGTTTATACTTCTATCCTGCCGCCACTTCAAAAAATTGTCATATTCCTGCTGATATCTCTCTGGTTATAGTCGGAAGTAAATTTTGAGTAGCCGCAGCCGCTTCCTCCTGTATTTCCAACGGAATTTCTCGCGACATCTCGCTATGGTCTATTTTCCCAATTTTTGAAAAGTCCAACTGACAATAAATAGTCATTGTTGCAGGTGACAGACGTTACGATTACCTTAGAAACTTAACGGCCGCCGGCCGTTATGATAACGTCCGGCGGACGTTATATGCATCTTTTCCATTCTGATTTTGCTTATGTTATAATAATATAACAATATAGTATGACGAAAACATAATTGTCCCATGATCTCTCTATATCAACATATCACAAATATTATTTATTCTTTCAGATTGTGTTTCGGAGGACAAATATAATAGAGGACCGGAGTAGAGGACTCTATACGTCGATAGTCTCTAAGTTGGTAAATGTACTACTGTTTTGATTAGATACCTGTTTCTTGCCTGTCTGGATAAAATTGATAGTTAAGAAGTAAAACACATCCGGGGGTACTCCGCGCCCTAGCCACTGATATTATATTAAATACATCCCATTCCATACCTTCCATCTAATTCAAACATTATTCGGATCTATTGGTTAATCTTCAACAACTAGCTGGTGTCACTTGAAATAAGTATATAGGGGCTTCCCCGGACGCAAATCTGCAGCTAAACAGATTCGCATCCCTAATAGTAAAAAGACTCGCATCCTTAATAGTCATAAAGACTCGCATCCTAGAAGTCAAAAGACTCGCATCCTTCGCATCCTTAATAGTCATAAAGACTCGCATCCTTAATAGTCATAAAGACTCGCATCCTTCGCATACTTAATAGTCATAAAGACTCGCATCCTAATAGTCAATAAGACTCTCATCCTAATAGTCAATAAGACTCGCAACCTAATAGTCAATAAGACTCGCATCCTAATAGTCAAAAGACTCTCAACCTAATAGTCAAAAGACTCGCAACCTTCTTAGGCATAAGACTCGCAACCTCCAAATGTCAGCTCTGTGACAAAACACAACACAACACTACTTTACAGCCGGCCGGCCCGTCTACTACTGACTCGCCGGCAAGCTAAGCCTGTCCTTACATCACAATTTTACCTAATCGCAAATATTTACATCGCTTGCCAATGAATCATACTATTTTCTCTAATCGACTTTCAAATTAATAGAGTGTTCTAGCATTACTAGATAAATAAATAGAGAGTTTCCGAATTATAAAACCATTATTATAACCAACTTATTTTTGAAGTTTTACACAAGCTTTTTTATTTTGCATCTAATGGCAATTTTGTTCCTATTTTGGTTAGGCTCAGAATTCCAGTAAGGTTCTTCTAGACAAGAAAAGATTGCAATGAGTATCTTACGTTCTGTTTTGTCACTTTTTATTACCCTTTATAGTAAATATTATAATTATAAACACGTGTTTTATTAAATTTATTATTATTTACTAACGCCTTGTGAATTTACAAAAGTAATTGTAAATTCACTATAATAAAATATTTAAATTTGTTGTTACCCTATAGTAACAGTACAAGAAGCGATTTTAGAAGATAAATTTACAATGAATAAGTAAATTTACTATGAGATACATTTTTACATAAATAGAACAGATTTTTTACATAAATTCACAAGGAACATTGGTGAATATAAAGATATATTATAACATATTTACATATATGTCACAAATTAGCCATACAACGATTTTACAAACGTGTTGTAAAACTAAAGATATATAAGAATCGCTTTTAAAACGTCCTTCAACGTTATGCGGTGCTAGTCGCCTTTGATTGCGTTCATTCCAGTCTCCGTCACGCAGATCCCTTGAGCTCATCACCTTCTTGACACCCTCCATCCAGTTTGTCCTTGGTCTTCCCCGTTTCCTTCTCTTTTGTGGCAGCCAGTTTAGTACCTTCTGAGGCAGTCGCGTGTTGTCCATCCTTCTCACATGTCCATACCGCTTCAGTTGGGCACTCTCTATTTCCTCTACTATAGTTTTTTGTCTACCCATTTTATCCCTGATTATTTCATTTCGTACTCTATCCAGCCTTGATGTTCGTGCTGATCTCCTTATCGCGTCCATTTTTATACCGCCAGCAATTTTCTTTTGTTATTCTCTGTCAACCTCCATTGTGATTTCCCGGATTTATCAAAAGTAACGCCTAGGTATTTGTATTCGTTAAATGTTTGTATGTATTCATTATCTAGTTTTATTGCCGTTTGATCCGATCCAATGCAGAGATATTTAGTTTTTGCGATATTCATCTCAAGTCCCCAAACTTGGTATTCCTCTTTAAGTTTTCGTGTCATATATTCCAAGTCATCTTTGTCTCCTGCAATAACTTGGTCGTCGGCGAATTGCAAAGTGTATAAGCAAGATTCTTCACTTATTGCTATGCCCATGCCTCTACACTTGCTTTTCCAAAGCTTTAAAACTTTGTTCACATATATTTTAAATAAAGTTGGTGACAGGCAATACCCTTGTCTTAATCCTTTTGATATTTTAAATGGTTTTGATACTTTATTTCCAGTTTTTGTCGAGGAACAAAAATTTTTATATATCTTTTGCATCGCTGTTATAAGTGTGTGATTTAATCTGGTTAGTTTAAGAGATTCCCACAAATTAGTGATAGGGACGCTATCGTATGCTTTCTGGAGATCGACAAACATTAGGTGTATATCTTCATTTATAGCTATTTTCTATTCTATGAGAAGTTTCAAACAGAATACATTATCAGTGCAGGATCTCCCAGCTCTAAAACCTGATTGTTCTTCTTCTTCTTGATCTTTGTATCGTCTTCAATTAGGTCTTTTAATACTCTACCATATATTCTGCTTGTTGTGCTTGTTACCGATAATTCCCTATAATTCGAGCATTGTTTTCTGTCGCCTTTTTTATGGATAGACGTTATGTATGCCATTTTCCATTCCTCTGGTTGTTCTTCGCCATTTACGCGTTTGTTGAAAATATATCTAAGGCATGTTATTAGTCCATCAGAAGCATATTTAATAAGTTCAGCATTGATACCCGCTGGTCATGATGCTCTACCATTTTTTAGTTGTTTGGTAGCGTTTTTCACCATATCCTTCGTTACTAATACTTCCTCCCCTTGTATATCTATTTATATTCGGTGTTCTTCTTCACTGATAAGAAAGGTAGACTTGAACTAAAGTCGTCATCGTCTTGAAAAAAAAATTAGTGGCAAGAGAATTTATTTTAGTGTAAAAGAAAACATTTTGCCTGAAGAAAAACTCTCTTAACTCAAGAAAACTAGTTCTCTTGAAAAATTCGAAAATTTCTCTTGAATCTATTTTCATTCAACCAAGTGCAAGTTACTTTGTTTTAAGATAATAAGAAAAATACGCTAGGAAGTACTTCATTTAAGAAACATGGCCATTTTTCCAATAGCTAAATACTCTTTTGATGAAAAATAATAACGACACGCAAAGACGATGACGAATGACGGTATATCAATCAGTCGGCAGTCCGTATGTCGCATTTCATAGGTCACACATCATAGTACGTACGGGTTTTGTTGCTTGGAATTTTCCACTTGGAATTTTGCATAATTCGCTTTTTAAGCGCATATCGTATAACAAATTAGTGATCGTTATTAACATGTATTTGTCATTTTTTATGGACAAATTTTAGGATATATGGATTCTTTAAAGGAGTTGCTAAAAAAATGGAAGTTAGAGCATTTATTTGCTATATTTGAAGGTAAGAGACATTTACCTAATGCACCTGTTTAGATAATGCATGCGTGACTATAGATGGAATAAGAATAATAAATAAGCAAATAATTACAAAAAATTTAGATTTTCAAGTCGTCGTATTAAAAAATTCAAAATGTGACCAAAGCTTCTAATTTTAATAATTTATTTGCTTTACTTTGATTAATCGTGATTTAACATTTTTTTGTAATTTGTAGAGTGATGAACCACCCCAAAAAATACCAAGGAGTGAAGAAGCAGAAATAACTACTATCGAGGAAAATAATATTACTTTACTTACTACAGACCAGGAAAACCTAAATTTATCAGAAAATAATATACCTCGTAATATGCCTGTATATGCTGTATAGACTTCTCTTAGATCAAAATAAATTTTAGTTGAGTCAATAGTATTCACTATTGGTTTAAGAAAAGTGTCTCTTTAATCAAGAAATGTCCCTTTTCAATCAAGAATTTTTGTGTGAATCAAAGAGACTATTGTTCTTGTAGCAAGAACTTCTTTGCATATTCATTTTGGGCCAAGAGTGAAATACTTTGGACAGATAGATTCTTCTATTCTCTAAAGTAATTTTTTAAAGCTTATGAAAAGATAGTTAATGCTTTGGGCAACAAAACGTCGTTCTTGGCCCTATTGAAAAGCGCCAATCTTTTGGGTCAAAGTCATATTCATTTCGAATGAGAGATCTTTTTTTTTAGTGTTCTATAAACTGTGGTCGCTGTTCTTCTAGGAGTTCGTGATAATATTCCACCCATTCTTTTGTTGATATCACAGGGACTGTAACTTTAACTTTGAACGAAAAAGCGAATGGTAAATTTACTACAATAATCTGTGGCAAGAAATAACCCTCAATATTGTTATTTAATTCACGAATTAATGTTTTCAGTGTATATTCCACATATTTTTCATACATTAAAAACTGCCTGCCCTAGAACATTTGCTGCTGAAATCGGGCCTGATTAAAAGCATCATTAAAGTTGTAAATTCCATCTCAAAGCCGGAGCGTTGCAGGCTCGTATATATTTTTAGAAGAAATTATAAAGACATGGGTTGTTTATATGTAAATCTTCTTTATCATGCCGGAGGAGCAAGATGGCTTTCCGAGCTAATGTCTTAATGTCTCCCAGTTAAAAGCAAAACTTTTGATGTAGTCGAAGGAAGGTGCGACATCGGAGAATATGAGGAGAGATATCTATTTTCCGATTCTCTTTGGCTCTAAGGGTCGCGTTTTCCCTTAATGCCTCCGCATTTTCAATGGCATATAGTTTGAAAGGGTGATGAGAACTTAAATAGTCACAGCATCTTTGGATTAGAGTAATAACTTTTTGTTGTAAGTTGCGTTAATTAAAAATGGATATTAATGATGTAGTTTATTTGAAACCTGTTGTAAAGTTGTACATAATCACATCCTTAATAAGATTGTGTTCTCCGTGTTTTTTTTAAAGCCTCCCATTTTTGACATATTGCGGTGACTTTTTAAAATGTTGGAGAAATTATAAAAAAATATGGTAAAGATTAAAAAGAAAACGGCTGCTCTCCGTTTGGTGAACAGTAGGTATAGGTTCATTTAAATGTTTTTGCATTTTGTTGCCCACCACTTAATTTAAGCCAAGTTAATGTAATCTTTAAAAAATGAAGAATATTACCACAGGTTAAAGATATTCTGTAATGATATATCTCAAATATTAAAATACCAAAATTTAATAAAAAAATTATGTAGGTACATTTATTAATAATTGATTTTTTACCTATCTCTTCAAGTTTTCATCTTATAATTTAGACCTCATTTATCACTATACCCATGGAATGTTGATAGATAATTTTAGATTTTTAGCCGACCATACCAACAGGTATGGTAGGCTATTAAGATCAGCAAAAAATTTTTTTTTTTTAATTTCACTCAAAATGAGTTATTTGGGTCATAAATGACGTAAATACAAAATATTTTCATGGCGTCTGTCTGTCCGTCTGTCTGTCCGTCTGTCCGTCTGTAACACTCAAAAGTCAAAAATCGCTAAACCGATTTTAACCAAATTTGGCACAAAAATACTGTGGCTTCCGAGAATCTGGCCATTAGTTTTTGGTGGGGGTGTTGGTTGGTAAGGGGGTATGGAAGGGGGTTAAAAATTAAAAAAAATCGTAACTCCAAAATTACAGTAGCTAGAGAAACGCGGTTTTCAATTTAAGATTAGGAATAATAATTGCAACAAAATTTGTAATAACATCAAAATCAGTCAAAGTCGCAGTTTTTGAGATAAAGAAAATTGCTTTTTATTAACATATTTTAGTATGGCTAGCTATACGTGCCCCCCGGCGCCAATTTTTTTAACATATGTTTGTAACATAAATATGTACAAAATGTACAGGTGGTAAAAATAATAATATTTCAAGACCATTTGTTTACAAAAAGAAAACTATTTAAACATTTGTAAAAGAGTATACCAATTAAATACCGTATGATCGAGAAAAAACGGCGTCAACCATGGCTATGAAATGAAGATCGCTGTCATTTTATATGTAAATTTATATAGGAAATGTCATCGATCGTCATTTCCCAGCCAACTGGACGCCATTTTTTTTCGATCATACGGTATAACCACCATTATTTCCGCCCAAAAATTAGTTAATTACATTGTTTTAATTAATAAATATTCTAAATAAATGTGGATCTAACTCAGAAATCAATATAATAATAAGTTATGAAAATGAAGGTCTCTATTGTTGTAAATAAGCATTCGTTAAAAAAATGAAATAAAGTTTATAAGGTCTTACTTTTTACCACACTGTCTAATACACATACAAAATTCAGTTTTTTAGTATTTGGAGTAACAAAAAATAATTATATAGTTTTTTTTTTTATTTTTTAATGAAATAAGCGACAATATTAGCACTCAATATGTATTCTTTGAAAATATGTTACATCTTTAAAAATAATCTAAAATGTCAATATTCCATGGGTATAATGATAATGCAGGTCTAAATTTTAAGAAATCGCATTTTCTACGAAAACTTGAAGAGATATGTAAAACAAGGTAAAATACAATTTGAGAGACAATTAAATTGTGCATCTGATTTTCGTAAAATATACAGGGTGTTCTATTTAAATTAAACAAGTTATTTCCGTTTAAAGCTATAGTAATTATTTAATATAAATTTTTAAACACTCTGTGTAAGGTAGTAGTTTGATAATTGTTGCAACACAATATCTGATTAATAAATAAACTTCAGTAAATATTTAGTAAAAAACATACCTTTGGAGAAATGAAGCCTTAAAATATTGTTACTGCAATTTCATAAAATTTTAAATATTTCAAAAACGGTAAGGTTTAAGTGTGATAAACCTTAATCAA